CGGGCCCGAGCTTGGGTCGACGCTGCTTACGAGGAGCGCTGGTGGCCAGTGCGAGCGCTGGCCTCGTGGTGGCCGTCGGCTCCCCGAGGGGCGTCCACTCCGCTGCGTGCGCCTCCGGCCCGAGGGCCCGAGGGCCCGGCGGGAAGCAGCCCACGGGGGCGCCCCGAGATGCTGCGCTCCTCGTGGCCCGCCCCGGTGCGCGCGCGCGGCGCGGCATGCAGACGGGCGACTGGCCTTGGCATCGCTCGGGCGTGCGTGCAGTCAAAAACTGGAATAAGGACGCGCGGTAAGGACGCAAGACCCTTGGAAGCCGAAGTTGGGATTTTTGGAGCGGCGGGCGACGAAAACCTCAAGGACGCAAGAGCAAGGACGAGCAAGGACGCAAGGGCACTCTGAGCAAAGTCGCGCGTCCTTATTTGGGTTTTTGACTGTACTTGTCCTTCGGCGAGGACCATCGAAGAGCATCCTCGATCAGTTGGCGAAAAAGCCACGCACGAGGCCGACAAAAAAACACAGGGAACGGACGTCCGAGCGATGGCCAGTGGCGGTTCCCCCGCGCACGAGGGCTGCACCCGCCGTGCCCAGGGAGCGCGCGCCTGCGTGCGCGGCCCTGCCGCCAGGGCCCGACCGGCCCAGCGCAGCGCCGAGGCAAAAGACGGGCCGCCCGACTCCGCCTCGGGCCGCCGCGTTCCTCGCTCTCTCCCGGGCTGCGCGCGGCAGGGCCGCCCCGCGCGCTGCGCCGTTCTGCCGGTGGGCCTCGCCCGCCTCCTCGGAGGTGGCGGCGCAGCTGCATATGCGGCGCTCTGCCGCCTTCGGCCCCAACGATGGGGGGGGATGGGCATAGGGGGGGATGCATCGACCCCCAATCGCCCACTGATCGCCGATAGGGGCCAGATAGCCCCACCCCGCCCAGGAAAATGCGGACTCACTATCGGGCGCCTATCGCCGATCTATCGGCGATGTATCGCCGATTCCAGGTCGATGCATCCCCCCTATGCCTACCCTCCCTTATCGTTGCCACTCACGCCTGGGCGCTGGCGCACGGCCGCCGGCGAGAGGAGAGTGTCCTCACAGGTGGGTGCGGTTCAGCAGCGCGGGCGGGGGCCGAAGCGGGAGCGAGCACGGGAGCGGGGAAAGGCGACGGCGAGCTGCGGTGGCATCTGTGGCGGCGGATGGGGAGAGGGGGGGGGCGGGTGCAGGGGGGAGTGGTGGAGGAGGGGGAGGAGCA